TGAAGGGCCTTTATGCCTGTTGTCTGTAAAGGTGTCACCAATTTACATTCCCATCCAGACAAAGAAAAAATCAGGATCAAAAGCACTACATAGATACTGTGTATTTATAAGTTGCAGTTCTTGAAGATGTAGAATAATTACAAACATTTTTTAAATTGAGGTATAATTAACATATAACCTATTAATTTCAAATGTATAACCTAATGCTTCAATATTGGTATATATTGTGAAATGATCCCTTTGAGAAGTTTAGTTAACATCTATTGCCACATAGTTATAAATTTGTTTTTCTTGAGATGAGAACGTTTAAGAGCTACTGTCTTAGCAACTTTCAAGTATGAAATATAGTATTTATATATTAACTATAGTCCCTATGCTGTACATTACATCCCCAGGACTGACTTATTTTATAACTGGCAGTTTTTACCTTTTGACCACTTTCACCCATTTTGCCCACCCCCATTTTTATTCTTGCCTTACCAATCTGTTCTCTGTTTCTATGAGATTTTTTTTTTTTTTTTTTTAGGTTCTACATGTGAGATCATATGGTATTTTGGTATTTGTCTTTGTCTGACTTAGTTCACTTAACATGATGCCCTCAAGGTCCATCCATGTTATTGCAGATGGCAAGATTTCCTTCTATTTTTTTTTTTCAACGTTTATTTATTTTTGGGACAGAGAGAGACAGAGCATGAACGGGGGAGGAGCAGAGAGAGAGGGAGACACAGAATCGGAAACAGGCTCCAGGCTCTGAGCCATCAGCCCAGAGCCTGATGTGGGGCTCGAACTCACGGACCGCGAGATCGTGACCTGGCTGAAGTCGGACGCTTAACCAACTGCGCCATCCAGGCGCCCCGATTTCCTTCTATTTAATGGCTGTCCATTTTTTAATCAGATTGTTATTTTTTCTATTGAGTTGTAGGAGTTCTTTATATATTTTAGATATTAACCGCTTATCAAATACATGATTTGCACGTGTTTTCTTCCACTTAGTAGGTTGCATTTTCATTTTGTCGATGATTTCTTTTGCTGTGCAGAACACAAACCTTTATACAGCACAGCAAGGACCATAACCATAGAGCATTTGTAGAGATTGAACAAAAGCTCCAAGAAATACAACTTAATTAGAAGACAGTCCTTGTGAGAATTTAAAATACCGCTTTCAGAATTTAACATATCAAGAAGACAAAAAACAAATAACAATACAGAAAATTTGAATAATGTAGTCAACAAGCTTGATTTTGGGATTCATTGGGATTCCAGTTTGAGAACATATTTGAAGATGTGTTGCAGCCAACAGAGTGAGATGTAAGATGGGAAGTGGGAGAAATGGTGGAGCTAATCTGGGATTCCAGTGTTAACAGGAGGAAAGTTGAGGAGCATTTCGGGAAAGCATCTCATCCATGTTAGAACTGGAAGTTGGTGGGATCCTGGACTTATGCCTTAAAAAAATTGAAATGGGTTTCAAGAAATAGTGTGACATAGTATGATTATGAAACTGAGACATGTTAGGGACATGGGGCAGAAGGCCTGTGTATCTTCTCCAACGGAAGGATAAAACAGAAGAACTGCAAAAAAGTCACATTACAAATGTGAGTGACATGGAATGTCACATGAGTTGGAGTGTTTGATGAAGTGTATGAAAGAATCCATTTGAACTAGACCCTGGAAATACTTTATTTGGGAGTGTGTGGGTAATGCACTTTGGCTGTGCAATGAGCTATATTTACGGAATCTGGATGTGAGTACTGTTGTTTTTCACCTTAAAAGGTCTGCTTTATAGAAGGAGCACAAGAAGGTATCTTCCTTATGTTCATGAAACATTTAAAGTTTTTTAACTTTTTTTGTTACAGACAAAACTTATGGGTGACTAAAAAGCTCAGAGATTTTACAGATTTCATTGTGATTTAAAATACTAATGGAAATCAACAAAATGTTGAACAAAAAATGGGTACTTGGAGATGTAAAGTTCTTCCTTAAAAAAAACAAAAACAGGGGCGCCTGGGTGGCGCAGTCGGTTAAGCGTCCGACTTCAGCCAGGTCACGATCTCGCGGTCCGTGAGTTTGAGCCCCGCGTCAGCCTCTGGCCTGATGGCTCAGAGCCTGGAGCCTGTTTCCGATTCTGTGTCTCCCTCTCTCTCTGCCCCTCCCCCGTTCATGCTCTGTCTCTCTCTGTCCCAAAAATAAATAAATGTTGAAAAAAAAATTAAAAAAACAAAAACAAAAACAAAAAACCTCTGAAATTTAAAATTGGTGTTACAAATCCTGTAGAACCATGCTGTCCAGTATGGTAGTGACTAGCACACACATGTGGCTAAGTTGAGTTAATTTAAAATTAAAAATTCTACTTTTTGGTGGTACTGGGCTCATCTCCTGCCCTTACTAGCCACGTGTGGCAGGCCACTGCCAACTTGGATGTTGCAGGTACAGAACATTTCCGTTCTGGTAGGAAGTTCAATTGAACAACTCTGACGTAGAAAGTCCTTCAAAAGAGGACACTTTATAGACTTATGTGACATAGCTTAGCTGGGAGCTGGCGGGAAAGCATTTAATAACTTGCATTATTTATAATAAAAAAGACTGGGGCGCCTGGGTGGCGCAGTCGGTTAAGCGTCCGACTTCAGCCAGGTCACGATCTCGCGGTCCGGGAGTTCGAGCCCCGCGTCGGGCTCTGGGCTGATGGCTCAGAGCCTGGAGCCTGTTTCCGATTCTGTGTCTCCCTCTCTCTCTGCCCCTGCCCCGTTCACGCTCTGTCTCTGTCTGTCCCAAAAATAAATAAACGTTGAAAAAAAAAAAGAAAAAAAGTAAATTATTAAAAAGACTGAAAGTAAGTGAACTAAGTACTCAAGATAGTAGAAAAACAAGAAAATAAACCAAAAGGAAGAGAATGAATTTTTTTAAATGCTGAAAATAATGATAGAAATAAAATAAAATATGCCAGAATTGAGTAATAAGTAGAGATTCTGGGGTTATCTGGGTGGCTCAGTCGGTTAAGTGTCTGACTTTTTGATTTCAGCTCAGGTCATATCTCAAGGTTCCTGGGATAAGAGTGTGGAGCCTGCTTGGGATCCTGTCTCTCCTTCTTTCTCTGCCCCTTTCCTGCTTGCACGCTTGTGCACTGTCTCTCAAAATAAACTTTAAAAAAAGTAGAGAGTCTGAACAGACTATAACTTTTTAAAAGGAAATTTAAAAAGTATTAGTCACCTTATCGAGATGGCATTTCAGCTGAATTATATTTACCTTTTAAAGAATAGATTGTACTGCTGTTTATTCCAATCAATAATGGATAGCTTCTCAGTATATTTTTCTGAAGCTAGTATAGTCTTATACTGATACTTCGTAAAGGTAATTTTTAAAAAGACCAGTTTTTAGATACACAAATTCTATTTTTTTAAATGTTTATTTATTTTTGAGAGAGACAGTGTGTGAGCATGGGAGGGGCAGAGAAAAAGAGAGCCACAGAATCCGAACCAAGTTTCAGGTTCTGAGATGCGGGCATAGAACTCGAAGTGGGGCTTGAACCCATGAACACTGAGATCATGACTGAGCCAAAGTCGGACACTTAACTGCCTGAGCCACCCAGGCACCCCTAGATACAAAAATTCTAAATAAGATTTTAGCTAATATAATTATATACTAGTAAAAGAATAGCATTTTCTTGCAGTGCAAAGATAGCCATAGGAAACCTATCAACATAATTTATTCTGTCAACAGATTAAAGGAGAAAAGCCATGTGAGTCTATTAGTGGATGCTGAAAAGGCATTTGATAAAATAAATTAAAACAAGTGTAATAAGAATTATGAAAGAAACTACTCCACTTATGGGAGTAATCATAGCACCTGCCACAGAGGGTTGTTGTGAGTATTTAATGAATTAACACATGTAAAAATGCTTAGAGCAGTGTCTGGCACATAGAGATTATTCAATGTTACCTCTTTTTATTAAACATGATACAGTTGATATGCAAAAAAATTGGGAAATATTGTATCGAGTGGTAAAACATTTTGATTAAAATTAGGAACAAGACAGAGTTGTGCTCTTCTATATGCAGAATCACTTGTAAGGTTGTATCATTTTTCTAATACAGTAAAAATAGAAAATGAAGTGACTGATACAAATACTAAAAGAGGAGGCCAAATACTTTAAGTTACAAATTATATGATTTACATATGTACAAAACCCAAGAGACTATGAAACACTAATTAAAATACTCAGAGCTAAATTTAACAAAATGGTTCTGTAGCAGGAAAATGAAAAAAAAAATGGTTCTATCTTTAAGTTAGAATATAAGGAAAGTCAAATCAGATCTCAGTAAAATTTGTCAACATTTCTAAACTTAACATATGAATTTCATTAGTTCTAGTTAGAAGCCTAGTGCACGATTTTATGAAATTGGATAATATTAAAGTTTATATGTAGAATATATTTCTGACACTACCCAAGAAAATATGCTATATATTTAATCCTGTTTTTGCTAATAGTCCCTTTACATTTTCCTTCCTATAAGCACATATTTGTGTGGAGAAGTTTGAAGAAGAAAACAATCTTAACATGTTGGTGGCATTTTCTCCCTTAACCTCAGTGTAGACGGGGATCCCTGGAGAGTTAGAAGTATGATCAAATACTGTTTCTTCATATATTTTTGACTCTTTGACTTGTTCCAAGGAATACATTTTACTTACCATTTTTAATCTAATATAGAAAAGGTAATAGAAAAAAGCTTAATGATTTCTCACTGAAGTTGAAATCTGATTTTAGGTAAATTGGGATTAAAAGCATATCATTGATTGATTTAGGAGATTGTAAAGAAATACCTCATATTTTTTTATATATACTAAAAACTGAAATGTATTTTCTTTTAGCTTTCCTGAACATTTGGTGCTTTCTATAATGGAATGATTAATTTTTAACTCAGAAGCTCTGAGAAGAATTTTTTTTTTCTTTCTTTGTTTCTTTTTCTTCTTCTTCTTTTTTTTTTTTTTTAATCTCTCTGTCAAAGGTATGCAACCACTCATGTATTCGGTTCAGGAAGCATTAAATGCCAGACCATGGTGGATTCGTGTGGGAACTGACATTTGTTATTACAAGTAAGTATTCTAAGAATATTGACATCAGCTGATGGAAGGGGATCTTAACTTCATTCTGTTTCAGTTTAAAGATTAGAAACTAGAGTCATTATTGCATTATTTGAACTGTGGTGATATACTTTACTGTTATCTCTAACAGAGTCCTTTAAAATTTGAGATTCATTGAGGTGGTAAATTTAGTAGAAATAAAATCTGTCCTATAGACAGACAGACTTAATCCAAATCTTGTCTCCACCAGTTAGATAGCTATGTGTCCTCAACTTTCTTAGCTTTTAAGCCATGTAAACTTCATTGAATAAACGGAAATTAGGAATTCTAGGAAATAATTTGCAGTGGCTTTTTGTTGTTCTGATGATATTAAGTATAATTCTTTTCTGCATACAAATATTTACCTCATCTTAGTTTCCAGAATATTTTACCTGGAGGTATATCCCACAGTTACCTTATGTCAATTTATACAGTTCAATTTGACCTCAAATAGGTCATCTACTTAATCAAGTTAGAAATCAGTGCTCGAAATCACTTACTGCTTCAGTGGAATGATTGGATTATTCTGCAACTTCACGTCTAAGTAATCTGGGATTATCATATACTTTGCTTCTCATTTTTACTGTTTCTGCATGTAATATATTTCTAGATAACTTCCTCCACTGAATTCATTTGACCTCCCTGTGTTTTCTCTGTTATTAATCTTAATCCTGACATTTTTGTTTAGTGGATTTTGAATTTTTATCTTGGGTTTAAGTAGCACTAATATTCCTTCAGAAGTCAGAAGATTTCTGACTCTAGGTTTTAGAAAAACCTGCATCTTAAGTGCTATTACTTTCTGAGAAAGACAGTGTTCCTTGGAATTCATCTCAGTAGGATTTCCCCCTTACTTGTATTAGCAAAATCAATAGTAAATGAGGGATAGAAATAAAAGATTATATGCATTTCATCTGTACTTGTATAAATTTCATATTTCTTTTACTGCTAGGCTAACATAAAAATACTCTTACTTATCTCTTTCTCATAAAGTTGGAATAGAAATAACCAATCAATGAATGTTTTTCTTTTCCACATTATCAAGTGAATGGTTGTAACATGACAGGTGGTGGTTCTGTTCTGTGTAAGGGGGATGGCGAGGATTTTCATTTGTTTAGTTTTTGTTTTTTCTTTTGGCTACTTCCAGATCTGGAACTGGAATTCAGGTCAATTCAACAGATGCCTATTAACTGTTTTCTGTGCAGCAAGCACTACTTGCTTTCCTGAAGCCTGAAATCCAGATAGTGAAGATAAAATCTACTATTTTTGCATGTGTCTTAACTTTTCATGTGAGCTAAGTCCTTGGATGCTTGTTTGTTTCATTTGCAAAATGAGAGTAAAAGGACTTCCACCAGTATATAAGAGAATGTAACTTATAAAATATGTAGCTCTAATGTGGGGTTATCGATACCTCTCTGATTAGATGTTAAACTTTTGGGGGAAAAGAGTCGGCAAGGACTAGGCCTGGAACTTGTTTTTGTGTTTTCGTCAGCCCACAGCACCTTGTCATTGAGTATTCAAGATATAGTGGCTAAGTGAATGAAGACTATACTGGTTTGAAAATACCGTTCATGTTTATGTGTGTGCAAGTAAATCTAGTTGTTGGTCATGGATTTTCTTCAGTTCATGACTTAAATAATAGAAGATGATCTGAACTTTTAGAGATTAGGTTGGTTGATAGACAATCTTTAGGCCATCAAATGTCAGTGATACTTAAAGTCTGGAAAGTAATGTGTAGTTTTAAAAACTTTTTATTATGGAAATCTTCAAACATTTGTAAGAGTAAGCAATAGGATAATGTATTCATCACCCAGTTTCAACCGTTATCAATACATGTTTAGCTTTGCTTTAGGAATACTTTCACTCCTACCTCCACACTGAATTTTTTTTAATAAAGATTTTTTTTTTTTTTAATTTTAGAGGGAGCGCAAGCTGGGGAGAGGGACAGAGAGAGCGAGAATCTTAAGCAGGCTCCATGCTCATTGCAGAGCCTGATGCGGGGGCTCTGTCTCAAAAACTGTGAGATCGTGACCTGAGCCAAAATCAAGAGTCAGCTGCTCAATTGAGTGAGCCACCCAGGCACCCCACACTGAATTTTTAAAAGCATTTCCAGATATCATATTTATCCATAAATACTTCAAAGAGTGAGTGGGAGAGGGGCAGAGAGAGAGGGAGACACAGAATCCAAAGCAGGCTCCAGGCTCTGAGCTGTCAGCACAGAGCCCAGTGTGGGGCTCGAACTCATGAACCACGAGATAAGTACCTGAGCCACAGTCATATGCTAAATCTGACTGAACCACCCATGTGCCCCTAGAGATTTTTTTTTTAAATTTTTTGTTATTTTTGAGAGAGAGCACGTGAGTGCAAGTAGGGGAAGGGCAGAGAGAGGGGAGGGGATCCAAGCGGGCTCTGAGCTGACAGCAGAGGGCCTGATGTAGGGCTCAAAGTCAGGAACAGTGAGATCATGACCTGAGCTGAGGTCAGATGCTTAACCAACTGAGCCATCCAGGCACCCCATATCTCTTAGAGATTTTTTAAAGACAGTCTAACCATAATGCTTTTATCACACTTAAGAATATTCTGTAATACAATAAAATACCCAGTCATTGTTCAGACTTCCCCAATTGTCTCATAAGTGTTGTTTTAGAGTTTCAGCAGGTTTGTTTGTTTGTTTGTTTGTTTGTTTCAACATTAGGTTCCCCCCCTTTTCTTTCTGTTATTTCTCCTTTATTTGTTGGAGAAACTGGGTCATCTGTCATGCCAGAGTTTCCACATTTGGGGTTTTGCTGGGATTGCATGCCTGTGGTGATAATGAATTCTTCTATCTCACTGATTGCCTATAAACTAGTAGTTAGATTTAGAAGCTTGATCAACTTCAGGTTTGATTTTGGCAAGAATACTTCATAGATGGTGCCGTGAATTCCTATTGCCTTACGTCTGGAAACATATCATGTCTGGTTCTTTCTTTCTTTTTTTTTTTTTTTTTTTTTTTTTTTTTTTTGTAGCCTTAAGATTGATAGTGAATTTAGGTATTGTCCCCTGATCCATCTGCTTTAAAGATGGTCATTAGCCTTCCATCTAATGGTGGTAGTAACCATTGATGATAATTGGCCAAGATCTGGTAATGTGTATGGTAACAAGGAATTAGGTTCTAAGCTTTTCATTGATGAGGAGTCTCAGCTCCATTTGATAGTAAATTCAGAAGTGAAAACTGATGTTGGCTGATAGCATTTATCTGATTCAGTAGTACCAACTCTAATTTTTATAGAATATTTAAGCTAACCTTATAAACCGTGTGTTTCCTCCCACCCGAAGTTCTGTTTCATAAAGAAGCAAGGAGATTCAGAACTTTTGTGTGGAAGAGGTAAACAGGTTTTGTGCTTTTCTATTGCAGAAATCACTTCTCAAGAAGTTCAGTTGCTGCAGGTGGGCAAAAGGGAAAATCCTACTATACAATTACATTCACTGTCAATTTTCCACATAAAGATGATGTTTGCTACTTTGCTTATCACTATCCATACACATATTCAACTTTACAGGTGAGAACTCATTAAGTTATATTATGGCTCTTATTGTACTTTATGCATATGTGTCAGATAATTGGGGGAAGACGGGTTTTAATTAAATATCTTAATAAAATGAAAAGATCCAGTGCTGAATATTTTAGAAAATAATACCATGTTTGTTGAAAACATTAAAGGGAGTAAAATGGGAATGTAGTCTTTATTTTTATTTAGTAGAAATACTAAGGAAATTTTAAAAGATTTTTACTCTCCACCTTTTTATAGAAATCTGTAGTTCTCTAAGATTCCATGATTTACACATATTAACTAGGTGAGACTTCCACTTGTTTAATGAGAGGCATTGAATCTCATAGAAAATCTAGCAATAGAAAAATGTGTAAGTTTTTCTGTGGGGAATTAATTTCTTTTAGTGGTTTGGTGTGGAGTTCTAGATCCAGATTCTTTAGAATTTAAGATGTAAGGGTTGTTTTGTGAGTTCTTTTGAGATGTTTGAGTACTTACATTGTAAAACAAAACTAAAAAATTAATCGAGTAGTTACTGTGGTAGATTTTTTTCTTCTTAGTACAGAAAGTCTTTTGTAATAATTATGGATCAAAGAGGTATGATCGGTTTACCCAGAGAGAGATTGGAACACTATGATTAGAAACAAGCTTCCAAATTATTAGGGGAAAAGAAGAGAAACATACTCCACTGAACAGAAGAGAGAGCAAAGCTTAGAACACTCAGTGTGGCTGACTTTGTTTTAATAAAAGTTGCAACTTACAGTAAAGGTGTTATCAGTTATCTTCCCATGCTGAATAATACAGCATCAAAGTATATAGTGCTGTTACACACAGGGTTACATATTACTGTTCTTTACTGATGTGACCTTTTTAGTATATTTTAAATTCCCCTCCTTTTGCCAGTGCTGCTGCCCCAACCTTTCCAGCCATTATTGCTGTCTCTCATCTGGACTTCTGCCGCCTCTTCTAACTGGTGTTCTAGAATTCACTTCTGTCCTCTTTCCTCCTTTCCCCACACTGGAGCAGGAGGGCTTCGTGATGGGAGGGTCTGGTCCCATAAATCTCCCGCTTAAAGCTTCTTAGTGATTTCTTTTGCCATTTTTATGAAGTCTGAGATTCTTACCGTGGTTCATTTCTATCATTTCCCTACTATTTGTAACAATTTTTGTCATGTCCTCATACTGTTTGCACTATTACTTAATATTTGTCTTTAAATGGACCTAAAATAACTCTTTAAAGTTTATCCTCATCCTAGGTTAATATCCATGGTATTAATTCACAGTAAAAAATATACCTGTTCATTTTTCAAATGGTTATGCATATGTCACTTCATTATCTAAATTACCAGTATGCGTATATATGCTGCTCCTTGTGAAAGAATGGCCTGTGAGGCCCTTCAGTCTGTGTTAAGTCTCTGTTTCTCACTCTTCCCGGTCTGGCTGCAATGAATTTTTGTCAGTCCTGTAAGATGCCCTTCCTCTTTCTTACATCATGGTCTTCCCATATACCTTCCTTCTTCCTGCCACACTCCCCTCTGCCCTCCTCACTCATCCTCTGGATCTTGGTTTGAATGTAACTTCTTTTAGGAGACCTTTCCACACTGCCGAGATTCAGCTAGGCTCCCCACTCCTGATGACAAGCTCTCACAGCACTCTGTATTTTTCCAAAGGTAGGGTATATTCATTCACACATCCCCGGGCAGTGTCCCTCACAGAAATAGTGGGCACATAGTCAATTGTGATTATGTGAATGAACATAGGCAAAAGTTTAGAAACCAAGTATCTTAAAAAAAAAAAAAAAAAAAAAAAGGGATTGAACAGTTTATTTATGGGATAACCATACATTAAAACCATTAAAACTTGTGTTTTCAAAAGACACATATTTCACTTGTTGAATGATCTGATATAGTGTTTGTAATTATGAACATATGTGTGTGTGTGTAAATTATTAAGTGATAAAAGCAGGTTACATTGGTATTTGTTAGTAGTAATCTAGGTGATGCAGTTATGGGTGTTTAAAATTTTTTCTTTGTACTTTCTGTGTCTTCTAGACATTTTACATTGAACTTGTATGAATCTTGAAATCAGGAAAAGTTGTTAAAAAATTTTTGTGCTACATACCCCATTCTGCTGGTCTACAGTCACTTATAATTTCAAAATTCAAAAGGCTTTGAAAACCAAAAGCTTTCTCCTAGCCCATTTGGCAGCCTGGCCTGAATTGATGTGAGCTTATTTAGAATATTGATTCCGCTTTGAGTGACTCCTCACATGTTTTGCTGCAGAAATAATGATGGGCTTATTACAGGCTGCTACGGCCACCCCCATTGGGGGTTTGCAGAATTAATGGTGTATGCATTGTAGCTATGCCCTTTCTCAACTGCCCCAAATAACTGATGTTTGAACTACCTCTGCCTCCCTGAGGGTTTCAGAGAAGGGATTAGGAATCTGATTCGCTTTTAGTTATGTCGAGATCTGGATGCATTTATTTCTATTTATCTTAGGGAGTTTTTAAATGATTGTATACTTTGCTTTTAAATTTTTATCAAGATGCATCTTCAAAAATTGGAATCAGCACACAATCCTCAGCAAATCTATTTTCGAAAAGATGTGTTATGTGAAACCCTGTCTGGAAACACCTGTCCCTTGGTGACTATAACAGCAATGCCAGAGTCTAATTATTATGAACATATCTGTCAATTCAGTAAGTCTGTCTTCTTCACTCAAAATGCCAATTATTCTTATTTTCCTTTGCTTCATATATGTTTTGTAAGGGCAACAGGACTAGAACAGGCATCAGAAGTCTGGGGTTCTAGTCTCGGTCCTATTACTGCCCAGCCCTTGGCCTCAGTTTCCTCATCTCAGAAACGAGGGAGCTGCATGAGATTATCTCTGAGGTCTCTTTTGATATGAATATTCTGTAGTTCTTACCTTTGTTGTGTAATACAACAAAATGTTTTAAGAGTTCATATGATAATACCATTAATTAAAAAATTTACAACTAATTTTGTTTATAAATCAAACCACCAGAAACCCATCATGTGCTTTGATGCTAGCACCAAATAGCTGGTTGGTTTTTCCTGACATTTATATATTTAAAATTGCCTCAGATGTACAACTGTGATAGGAAAATGAGAAAGCGCCCTAATTTTGATAAGAAGGTGAGGTGTTTTCAGGAAAGAGAAATAGCTTGATATGCCTGAAAACACGAGCAGGTGAGCAGAGTGGTCACATTGTAGACCTGTGTATTGAAATGCATAGTGAAATTGTTTTTCTTTGTTCATCTTTGAACAGATATACTTTATCTGTGCTTAGCATAGCAACTGTAAAACAGGGGTAAAATGATATTTTCCTATTTTCCTCATGACTTCATGAAAAATAAATTTATATTTAAAACTTCCCCAATACTTGTTCTTTATAAAAGCAAGATTATATAAAAGAACTAATTTTATATGTTAGATTAACCATTGGAAAGTAAAACTCAAATACTACTTATTGTGTTGCGTTCATATTATGAACTCCTTTAGGACATGGCTTATATATGGGTTTTGTGTATCTGTTTTCTCTGTAGGGCCTAGTGCTGTGCTCAGATACAGTAGGTGCACAGTGAGTTTTAGTATGAATTTATATCAGAACTCAAAATTGAGTAGAAATATTTCTATATTCCCAAAGTCAAACATCATACAGACTCTTAGTAGCTGTTCATTTTAATTTGAAATTTTATGTGTACTTTAGGAAATCGCCCTTACGTTTTCTTGTCTGCTCGGGTCCATCCTGGAGAAACTAACGCAAGTTGGGTAATGAAAGGAACATTGGAGTATCTCATGAGTAATAACCCTACTGCTCAGAGCTTACGAGAATCCTATATTTTTAAAATTGTCCCTATGCTAAATCCAGATGGTGTCATCAATGGAAAGTAAGTTAAGCAATCATTATAGAAATAGGTTATGTGCCTATCCTGTGTAAACTTGTCAAAATAATAGCATCCAGGTTAATTTGGAAAACAAATTGAGTGATGTTTCTAGAACGAAGAAATTTTTGGTGGGGAATTCATCTAAGATGAATTTTTAAATGAAAATACATTTTATGTATCAGTATGATATTTTGAGAATTTCTGTATTCCATGAGAGTATGATTTCATGTCTTGCTTGAATTGTTTTAGAAAAATCACAATGTCAGGATATGAGAATACATAAATAAGGTCTTTAACATAACTTCTTATATTCCTTTTTGTTTGTCAGTGGCATGATCTTGAGTTGATCTAAGATTTAGAATCTCCTGGGATCTCTTTCCATTGATATGGAATATTGGCTCTATCTGCTGACCTCATCCTGATAGGAGGTGGTGTAGTTTTGACAGAAGGAATTCTTTAGACTGGAAATAATGGAAGATGACTTCTTTTTAGGTGGAGATGGCTTATAGTTAGTGCAGTTTAATTTTCGTGGGAATTAGAAAACTCTGTTTCTGAAAGATGGGAATTTGGTGTTGCTGTCATGAGCGTCTCCAAAGCTGAGGATACCATATTTTATTTATTCACTAAATGTAGCACGAATATTTCTCACATTTTAGGAAGTTTTTGAATGAAAAAACCAGAATAATTTATTTTTAGGTAATACGTTATGGAATTAAAATGGCATTTTATGTCTAGTTTTAATTCAGAAACATATTGACCAGTTAGAATTCTGTTTACATTTCTGTTACCACCTTCTGATAGCTTGCTTAAATTTCTGCTCTGCTTTATTACTTACTACCTGAAATAAGTGAAAATGTATTTGAATTTTTACAAGAATGTAGACTTTTGGGGCACCTGGATGGCTCAGTCGATTGAGTGTCTGACTCTTGAGTTCAGCTCAGGTCATGATCCCAGGGTTGTGGGATCGAGCCCCATGTCATGTTCCACACTGAGCATGGAGCCTGCTTAGGATTCTCTCTCTCTCTCCCCCCCCCCGGCACTCTCCTTCTCTCTCTCTGTCTCTCTCAAATAAAAATAATAGTCAAAAAAAAATGTAGACTTTTCACATGTACCTTTCTTAGGAGGGCCCAGCCCAGATAGTACTTTTACATAATAACTAATACAATTGAAGTTCACGGTGTTGGAGTATAACAAATGATTATTATGAAATCAGAATGGAAAATAGGACCATTAGTAAATTTTAGAGAGTCTGGAATAAGACCCCAGAATTGAGAATTAATTTTTTTCTATAGCTTGAAAATGTTGACCTAAAAATGTGAAAGCTTGCCACAGTTAAATGCATGTAACACAAGATCTTGCACGAAGCAAATACTTCATAAGTGTTTATTTAGTGACTAGTATATTTACTGGAAATATTTACTGGAATAGAATCATAAAATTAAATCAAATATTGTAAGAGTTTATCAGTACTAATGTTTGTGTTTATATTGTGTAGTCACCGCTGTTCTTTAAGTGGAGAGGATCTGAATAGACAGTGGCAAAGTCCAAATCCAGATTTACATCCTACAATTTACCATGCTAAGGGGCTGCTACAATACCTGGCCGCTGTGAAGCATTTACCACTGGTAAGTATTTGTACTTTATCTAGTCACAGAAATGATTTTGTTAGTTAATGACTCAGTATATTCTGGTTATAAAAGCTAAGTGTTAATTTCAAAAGGAATTTTTACAAATATCTTCTTCTGTTATTAATTACGTGTGTAATTAATACACTGCATTTGTATTCTTATTTTGTCAGGTTTAATTTTTAGTGTTCCCCTGAGCCCTTTCCTTATCTTTTTTGTCTATGAACATTGGTAACTCCTGGTTTTAAGTTTTAGGTATTGAACTTCACTGTTTGAATAGCAGTAAGGTAACAGGATGTGTCTTCCAAGTTCTCAAACTGGTAGAAGCTTATTTCTGAGTTTGTTAGTGAACTCTGAAGCGAGTAAGTCTCGAGTATACACATGAGAGAAGGTGTGGGCACAGTGCTGAACACTATTGGACTGTGTATATATTCTGCTTCTGTTCTCAGCAGCTTTTGCATAGAATGTCCCGTTATATTATTGTTTGAATGAGGTAATCTTCCTCTGGGAAAGATAGGAAAACTTTGCAGAAGGTGAACATTGACATGCAGTCCTGTTCTTCATTTTTCATTTTAAAAATGCTGCTCTTAAAAATTAAATTGAAACCATACTACCCTTTGCTCAATTGTGTTTTTCATGAGTGCATTGTCTTTCTTTCAAATTACCTAAATTTTCAAATAACCCTTGGATCAGTGATGACTGCTGCTGTAGATTTGACCTATGACTGAATTTATTATTTTTTAAATTGTGAATAGTAGAGGGGGCGCCTGGGTGGCTCAGTCGGTTAAGCGTCCGACTTTGGCTCTGGTCAAGATCTCTCACTCTGGGAGTTCAAGTCCCTCATCGGGCGCTGCTCTGACAGCTCAGAGCCTGGAGCCTGCTTTGGATTCTGTCTCCCTCTCTCTGCCCCTCCCCCGCTCACACTCTATCTCTCAAAAATAAATACAAATAAATTGTGAATAGTAGGTATATTAGAGTGGAACTCATGGCTTGATGCAGGCCCTAGAAAGGATTTAGCCATTCTAGAATTAATCATAGATCCTTTCCAGAACTAGATACTACTACTTTTATTAGTTCTACTTATTAAATGGTGGCTCTGTTACAATGAAAGGGCAAAGACACACAGAGCTATTTATTGTCTTGTTATTAACTTGCTTTATTTGGAAATATATGAATTCAGAGGTTTTTAACTTTCAAAATATATTTTCAAGGTTTATTGTGATTATCATGGCCACTCCCGAAAGAAGAATGTATTTATGTATGGCTGCAGCATCAAAGAGACAGTATGGCATACCAGTGATAATGCAGCTTCATGTGATGTCGTGGAAGATGTAGGATACAGGGTAATTATCACAGATAAGTCTGGACTTTGGGGATTTCAAACACGTATAACACTACAGAAAGTAATGTAACATATCCCAGCCACTCAGACTCTGCAAGTGTTGCCATTTTGCCATTTTTTTTGCAGATTGTTTCATGTTAAATAGTCTAAAATTTTTTCTTTTCGTATTTAGAAAATACGAAAATTGGGGATCTAATTTTAGTGTCCCCATATATAACCAGTTGTCTCAGCACCATTTATTAAACAGTACATCCTTCCTGTGCCGATTTATAAAGCCATCTGTTACGTACCATGTTTCCACACCTCTGGGTATGTGTTGAGGTATGCCCAGGACTGAAGGAAGATCTTACTGCGTCACATCTTATGTGCTTTCCATTAAAGGCACAGTGGCTTTCCTACTGTATTTGCACCTAAACAAAACACCCCAGGTTTTTTTCCCAAAAGAATTTTGATAGCATACCACTGCCCTGAGCAGAAATTCAAAGGCACATTTTCTTTTTTGGTGTCCTCTCTCTTCTTCCCCTTTCCCAAATAAATAAAATGACTATGCTTACATTTACATTGGCCATCTAATTATTATTGTTTTGAAAATAACTCTTTTACAAATATATTGAAAAAACATTTTTTTAATTGTGTGATAATTAAAAACTTGCATCAGATTTGTTGGTTTTTTTTTTTTTTTTTTAAATGCCTTCTGGGTTTTGAGGCTTAGAAATCTTATCCAAAGATTTAAAAAATAAAGTTCCATGTTTATTGTTTTTAATTTCCTTTTGAAATTTTACTTGCTAATTGTTAAGTTTAAATTCTTAATCCAGTTAGAACTGAACTACTAAAGAGTGACTTCAGCTTGTTTTTCTCAGTGGCTCTCCAGTGGTGCCAGCAGTTAGTGGGTGATCACTCTTCTCTCCACTAATAATAATTAAAAAAAAAATGTTTATTGGGGCACCTGGGTGGCTCAGTCGGTTAAGCATATTCTTTGGCTCAGTCACAATCTCACAGTTGATGAGTTTGAGCCCTGCATCAGCTCTGCTGACAGCTCAGAGCCTGGAGCCTGCTTTGGATTCTGTGCCTTCCTCTCTCTCTGCTCCTCCCCTGCTCGAGCTGTGTGTGTGTGTGTGTGTGTGTGTGTGTGAGATTCACTCACTCTCTCTCTGTCTCTTTTTTGAGCATGGGAGGGCAGAGAGAGAGAGAGAGAGAGGGAGAGAGAGAATCCCAAGCAAGCTCAGTGCAGAGTCCGACACAGCACTCGATCCCAGGAACCGTGAGATCATGACCTGAGCTGAAATCAAGAGTTGAGATGCTCAACTGAATGAGCCACCAAGGTGGCCCTCCACACTAATAATTCTAATTTTTACATCTGCCTTTGGTTCTAATTCTGAATTCTCTTTCTTTCTAGAGATGTATCTACTCCTACATGGTATCACAATTTAACTTCCCTTACATATATAGTTAGGTTAATATCTGTTAGATTATTTCTCTTCTTTCAGAACTCCCCTGTCTGCCTTCATACTTACACACACCAGGTGAACCTGAGAATAATTTGAAGTTGCAGAAAATGTTGTGGGCATTTTGATTGTGATTGTCTTGACTTTATTGATTAATTTAGAGGTGGTTGACATTTATAATGTTAAGTCTCTTAATTAGTAAGCCATTTTTCATGACTAAAGTTGTTTTGTTTTTTAAACATTTTTTTTTCAAAATTTGAAACATTTTTTACCATAGTTTTTGTTCACCTGTTGGTTACTACTGTGAATGTGATCCTTTCTCCCATTTTGTTTTCCAACTGATTACTGTTTGTCCAGGAAAGCAGAAAATTCTGAATTTGTAAAGAATGGTTTTGATGTTTGGAATAGCAGAGGACAAAGTTCAAGAAGATTCACATGGCCCTGCTCTGGTCACTGTGCTTTCATGCAAATGTTTAAAAACTAAAAAAAGATGTTTTTAACTAAAAAAAGCCCTCTTGAAATATTGTATTCTATCATTCTTATTTTTGCAGACCTTGCCTAAGATACTGAGCCATATTGCTCCAGCATTTTGCATGAGCAGCTGTAGCTTTGTAGTGGAAAAATCTAAAGAATCCACGGCACGTGTTGTGGTTTGGAGGGAGATAGGCGTACAAAGAAGCTATACCATGGAAAGTACTTTGTGTGGCTGTGATCAGGGAAAATATAAGGTAAAACATCTCAGGACTTTGAGTAGTAAAAAGTATTTAAGGACTTTCTTTTCATATAGCATTCTCATGGTTTGTATTAAATGGCACATTTGTTACACTGAGGTGTTGCAGTCATGAACTTGAATCCTATGCAATTCTTTTTTACTTCTCTGTACTAAATAGCTTGCTTTGGGTTTTTATGAAATCTTGGTTGAGTCCATCTACATTCATAATTTTTAAGAAGGCATGTTGTGGTACACATTTTATTTTATTTTTTTTTTAATTTTTTTTTTCAACGTTTA